CACACAGCTGTGTTTTTTTTAATTATGCCGATGTCTCAATCTACAAGCAAACTGAATAATTTCATGGTGTACCTGTGGATGAAAACTCCCACATCTGTCACCCATTAATAGGAAAAAAAAAGGTGAAAAACCTTTCCTTCACATTTTAATTTCTGATTTTAAATATACATATCAGGTAGTTTGCAGTTTTAGATAGGATAGTCTCCACTGTTTGAAAACACACATGATTAGATGCATACAAAGAATTTCCATGTATATCCTCTTTTCACCAGGCAGGTTAAAATGTCACCTGCTTAAATGTCCAGATGAGAGTATTCAAATGTAAAAGAATAAAAAATTTTTTAAAAAAGTATATGACCTAATGTTTCTGTGGTATCATCAGGTGTTGTGTTAAGACTGATTCTGGTTTTCCACCTTATTGACTTTTATCCTGACCTGAGACTATTATTTAAACAGTATTCGACAGAAACTGTTTTATTCCTATCTAATTTTTTTTTTCTGATGTCTTTTTTTTCCTGAAGCGTGTTCATAATTTGTTGGTTTGGTGAACAATAAATGAGGTCTCTTTCTGTTTAATGACATATTAATAAAGAATAGGTAAGGTTGTTCTCTATCGGTGTTAACAACACAGCACTTTTAAAGAATCCAATGATCCATGCCCCTATAGAGCCTAGGCTTGTCGTTATTTACATTTATATAGTTATTTATGTTACTCATTCTTAAGGTAATTAGGTAGGAATGCAGGCTCCCTTTGCAGCAGAGATGTTTAGGTCCTTTTCTGACTAATGAAACAGTGAAAACTGTGCTCTTCACAACGTTTGTTCAAATTAGTACTTTCAGGGTAAATGCATTTCCTCTCTTCACTGTTTAAACTGAAAGCTTGTCAACACAAAAACATACTTAGCAAAATTGTTCATAAGCAGACTTGCCATTTAATTAATGTATTTAATTGTTGTAGGGGAAAGTTGCAGAGCATTTTTCCATTTTAAGAGTTTGCAAAGGTACTGATTTTTTTGTTTATTTGTTTTCTGGCAGAACCAAATGTTTTACTGTCTGGGCTGATGACACAGGAAATCCCTCTCAACTCTGAATTTTAGGGTTTTTTATTCTGTCTGATCCATGCTACTTTGCCGTGCATCCTGTCATCTTGATCCAGAATGTTTTTTGCACCAAGTTATCTGTTCCTAGGCAATACACTCTTGTTGTCTTAGCCAGCTTACTGGAGATCAGTGTCTTAGTTGTGATCCATGTGCTGTTTGGAACAAAATACCAGACATACCATATGCAAACTGCAGTTCTTAAGAAGCCTTATAGCGTAGAGAACCAGGTAGAAACATGAGTCTCTCTCCATAACTAGTGCTTGGTTTATCTGGCAACACAAATTGCTCACATAAAAAGGTCTGCTTCCATGTGTCACTGATGCATTTACAGTGTTGTCAATGTATTAATTGGAGAGTAAGATCCAGTTGGCAGCAATCATCTCGCTGCATGTCCCTCCCTTGCTGGAGTGTGCTGCCTTCTCTGCCCACACCATTCTTTAAAGTAGTATGTTTACATCTTGGGGCAACTATTAGGTCATGTTTTTTCTCAGAAGTTGTGAAGTCTGTCAAAAGCAAGGGCCACCCCTGAAATTATTCTGTTTTTCACAGTTACCTTTACTGATAAAATGGAGCTATAGACATTTGGATTGTTTCAGAAAATACTGTGCTGTGCTACAGCAATAATACCAGTAATAAATATTCAAGGGAAAATTCTTGCTGTCACTGTAGGATGATAAAAAAAGCCTAACAGCTCATTATCCGATGGTCACTGATCAGGTGAAGCAGTCCACCACTCTTTTCTCTCATACCTAGTGAGCCATTCTACGAGTAATACTTTGACTACTTGGTCATTGTACCACCTACATGTCTTCAGTTATCGAAGAGAAATATCTGAATTCTTCACCCCTATGTAACTAGAAATGTTGTGATGAAATATGCACTTTTTGTGTCCGTCTTTAAATATGGACTTTACTCAATAGGAACCCTTAAAAATTAAGTGTCCTTAATGGCACTGTTTTAAAACAAAGCACAACCTGTGTGTTTCTGATGGGTTGGCCACACATATTACAGTATTTATTAAACAGTCCTGGGGTTGTTTTGAAACATCTACAATATCACACATAGCAATAATTCATTAAGAGCAAGATGGATTTTGGCAACATCTTTTCAGTGACCTTTTGAAATGGATAAGTGACAAGCAGCTTGCACAGGTGATTCTACTGAAGTAAAAATTGCCATAATTTCCTTGTAAGTGGCCCAGCAGCAGCAGAATGCACTTTCATCTCAGAATCTGCTACCCTGACCTCTGTAGTATTGACCAGAGAAGGTCATCTGTAAGCAGAGCTCTGAGGAAAACAATTTCAGACTTCCTTACTTGTGTTTGAACCCTTCATACTTGTCTACCATATAGACAAGTTTGTGCTAGGTTAAGGGTTTGTGTATTTGTTTCTCTCTCCATAACTTCTTAGGCCATGTAGGAGTTAAATTGTATTCTTGTGTTGGAGACTGTTCTTCTGATATGGCATTTGCTATATGTGAAGACAGAGATTACAAACAAGGAAGCAGTTCATCTTCTTGTTGTTAAGATTCATTCCATTTGTGGGTCCAATACTCTACGTGGTTACATTAGTGTAATCCCGAAATACTACCCAGAATTAATTTGAATTATTTGAAATTCCATAGTTCTCTGATTTTAGAGAGGACTTTTTGTTAAGATTTTTGCATGCCCCAATGCTCTCCTTTTATTTTGGTACTACAGGGGAAGTTTGAAAAATTGTCATCAACGTAAACCAAAAATACCTCAGGCAACTAAATGCATGCCTTACGTTCTTCCGTTATTCATTAACTATTCTGTTATTCCTCACTTCTCCTCCTCACAACCACCTCTCCCCACTGCCCCCAAAAAACCACTAAGGAAACAAGCACACCACGATAAAAATGCTAATAAAGGGAATAATTCCAAATAGACCATAAAAGACAGCATTTATAATCTCAATAGAAATGCCAGTCAGCTTTTTTTGATGTAAAGCATCTGTCTCCAAAAGGAAATGAAGGCAGGCCTGTTTCTCCTTTCAAGTTTCTGAAGTAGTAGGTGGTGTCATTTGTTATACAGTGCTTCAAGTCCCATGTTATTGCACTGGTAGCTGTCGGCTGCCTTTGTTAACATACTGAAAAGTTTTATCAGCTGTGTTTAATAAAAGACAATCTATGTGAAGAAAAACTATAGCAAATGTCTCTTGCTCTCTTATCCTCTGACCAACCTTTATAGCTGTCAGAGAGCAATGGCAGTGATGTATAATGTTGCAGACATGCAAAATTCTTGTGACTATTACTATAAGCCATAGATATTGGGTTGGCTGATACCCTAGAAAGCTAGGGAGCAGTCTTTCCAAAATGCTGTGCACTTCCTCATTTGAAACATAAAGGAGCCGGAATGAATTTTCAGGACTACCTGAAATGAGTTATCAGTTCACATTTTCCATGGATACATTAGTTTAAAGCATTAATGGCATAGAATTTGTTAGGCCTCCAGAAAATTAGGGATGATGTGTAGAAGCTGGAAAATTTCAGTTAAAAGTCATGCAGTTTGTCCTTTCTATTTGTTTTTGTTGCTTGCTCTTGTGAAATGATATATCAAAGAGATGGTGGTAGAAGAGTTTCTTAGGTAGTTGTATGGTCTTATATATATGATGTTCTTTGGAGTACTGGATTAGTCCCATACACACACCATATTTTCAGGAGGATATGGAGGAGATGGAAAGGAATTCTGGGAGCCATATGAGACATCTGTGTTACTTACCACAGAATAGGTTTTGTGGATGCTGTAGAATTTGCCCTGAGCACATTTAAACATGTGTCTTATTTATGTGAGTTTTTATAGGTTTAAGGTTTTTTAATCCTTATCCTCTGTAAACTTTGTCTCAGTGCAAACACACAGACATATTTCAAGTGAGAAGTCATCTCTGTGTCAATAACTGTGCTCTTGAAGAAAGCAGTTTGATTCATGAACTCTTACTAGATAAATAAATAGCGTGAACAGAAGGAATGGATGTTCCTACTCATGATGTGAGAAAATTCTCTCAATCAATCTGAAGTCTAAAAATAAATAAAATATGTGGATATTGGGACAGCCATCCATATACAGTGGAGCTGATTTCCAAACCTTCTTCACTTTATAACATCAATTAGCACCCAGAACATTGGTAATTAAGGAGTGCATTATTCCATCATAAACTATTATGCAAGACTGGCACTGCAAAGGTGAAGCTGTGAAAATGTGGCTGCTGATATGTGTTTCCTGTAGCAAAGACTACATTTCAGGGGCATGGTTTTCCTTCTCTGTACAGAATATTATGGAAGAGAAAATCTTGGAGAGTATTTGACTGGCAAAACTAAATAAAACCCAGCTGGTTTTTTTTGTTTGTTTGTTGATTCTCAGTAGAAGGAAGTAACTGACTTAGGGGAGGTGGAAAAAATCTGTCAGGGTAAAGTAAGAAAAATTAAACCTAAAAATAACATCTTCAGATTCCACTGCATTTGCATTGTGATGTTTACAATAGAGAGAGCTGAACTGATTTTATTTTGCCTAATTTTGAAACTCTGGAAGCCACTTGTTCTGAGAATTTGGTATGTCGCAAATTCTTCCTGAGATTTTGTGATTCATATATTGACAGGTGAAAAGAAGCAAGAAGAAAGCTGAAAAAATATGGAATATTTATAGGATATAAAACTGTAGAATTATCTGAATAACATTTCCACCACAAAATTTAGGTTTTGGACACAAGAATTATGGGGGGTTTGTTGAAGTTTGATTCAAAAGAATAAGAGTAATGAATTTAACTTGCTAATGGAGAGGTTTGGAACATAGGTAAGTCTTCCTTATCATAATGATTTCCTATTACCACATTAGTTCGGGAGACCATCCGTAGTGCTTATTCTATTGACCGTATACCTACTATATTTTCATAGAATCATGGAATGGTTTGGGTTGGAAAGGATGTTGAAGATCATCTAGTTCCAAACCCTCTGCCATAGGCAGGAATGCCTTCCAGTACACTGGGTTGCTCAAAACACCATCGAACCTGGCCTGGAATGCTTCTAGAGACTGGGCATCTGCAACGTCTCCAGGCAACCTGTTCCGAGATCTAACCGTTCTCCTGAAGTTATTGTCACTGAGGGGCTTCTAAAGCATACAAGCACCCCCTCCTCACAGTAATCTGAAACTGATTTGCCATGTGGCTTCACATTTTGAGTATTGTATTTTCATCAGAGCACTGTTGAGTGGTGTCTGGAAACACTTGTCCTCTGAGGCAAAACAATGTGACTTCAAAAGTGTTTCTGAAGCTCATTGGAACTTACAGTGACCTAAGAGGGAGAACCATAGTGAACTTTGTGTATCATTTTTCCCACTTTTTCTTTGAAAGGCAAGGTACTGGTTTGGCAAATGCCTTTACTGTGCTCTCACTAGCATGTGAATACCTTTGGTACTTGGCAAAAGGTAGGTTAGACTGTTTGTAGCTTCATAAATGTGCTTTTCTGTCCTTTTAGTATTTGTTAACTACAATGACCAGGCATATTTATATCATGAAGAACCTATTATTTCATAGTGGAATAATCTAGAGATGAAAAAATAAAAACAAGAAGCATTTTTTCTTAGCTGAAGATGGAAAAAGTGTTAGTAACGTAAGAAGCTTTTAAATGGATTTGTTATGAAATTTTAACATCTTTCTTATAAAAATAGCATTGTTAATTTTATTCAGTAATTCATTAAGAAATAATGAATTGCCACAGCCTGAATCTAAATGAATATCCTAGAACCCCTGAATATTCTTAGAACCTGAGAACAGGTTGTGTTTTCTACTAGTTATAATTAAGACAAAGAGAAGAAAGGGATAAGTTTTAATATGTTAATTATTTCCAACAATTATAAATTCTTTATTGGCAATGAGTTTGGTTAAAATTAAAATCCTGTCTTTAATCCAGTCTTGGATTACTTTAATTTTCAACATTATCATATGTAAAGCTTATTGAGTTCTGTGTTTTCTCATTAAAGTGGGAAGTATATATTTGTAGACACCAGAGCTTGACCTGTTCAAAGCACAAAGTGTACAACAGCTGTTCAGAAACTTTTTCTTGTTATCTCTATTTGCTTAAATTACTAAATTGCTTCATGGAAAGTCTGAAAACATAAGAGAATAACTTCTTTAAGTGGAAAAAGATTGTCTAAAAAGAAAAATTGAAAATACTCCTAATATTCTTCCTTCCTTTTTTTTTTTATTGTACCAGTATCCAGCTGCCCTAATGAATCTTGGAGCCATTCTCCATCTGAATGGTAAGTTGAAAGAGGCTGAAGCAAACTACCTCCTTGCTCTTCAACTTAAACCTGATGATGTCATCACCCAGTCCAACCTGCGCAAATTGTGGAATATCATGGAGAAACAAGGTTTGAAGACGTCCAAAACATGATAATGAAAGCTCTGAATTTTTCTTCCTTAAACTTATTAAATTCACAAACTAGAACTTCTACACAGTTCGGTCAGAGAACTCACTGGACTTGACTGCAAGGATCAGAGGTCTTACTTAATGCTAAGGAGAAACTATTCTACCAGATAAATAGAGGAAGAGATACTTTGAGGTATTCATGAAGGACTTGTTACCTCACAAAAATATTTGGAACCATGGCACTTGAGAGGAGGTGTTTTGGCATATTTGATAAATCATTGCAAATCCCATATTGCTTACTTTTGGGTGGGTACCTGAAATGTGTACTGTCATAGAAATACTAAGGGAAAATCTCACAGTATACACTAAGCCATATGGGAGTTAAAGTGGTAATAGTGGGTTAAAGTATTTTACTGATACTGTAATTCATTAAAATGTATACTAAATCCAACATGTTTGCAGTTTGTCTTAATGCTGCTGTATCTCACTTTTGAACCATTTGCTTTCCAATTTCTCAGCTTATATAGCCAATTTTTTCGAACCTGTCAACATGATTGGATGACAGCATTCAAAGTTGTTTACTGAAACATGCCTATTATTTCAGCATGTTAACTTTTAATGCAGGTTTCTTGAGACATACAGTCAAATTGCTGTCAGGTAGACAGAATGACTAAGGAACTGCCCAAATTCTACATCAGATATAGTATGTAGGCTGGAAAAAAAAAGTTCATAGGTGTGATTTAGCAATACAAGCATGAGTGATGTTTGCCCTGATACCAAATCAATGTGGTCAGACTGTCATCTTAGGAAGAAAAATAATTGGTATTATAGAATAATGTGTCTGACTCTCTTTACCTTGCCGTTAGATAAATCCAACTTTAAACTGGACTCTGGATACAATATGTTTGCAATAACTAGTACAAGTGAGATTTGAAAGTATTAGTGCTTGGATATGCTACAAATGAGACTTTATGAGCAACTCTGAGAAAAGGGAATGTTATCCATTGGTGAGGCTCACAAATAACTGAAGGGACTAGATTAGATTATGTTTAAAATAGTGTAGATCAAGAGAAATTTGTAATGGTGGTTGCCAGTTACTTTTCACAGTGGTGGTGTTTTAAAGAGTATTACCTATTCAGATTCTAACCAAATATTAGCATTCTGTTTGTATTCTTACATGTGCTAGCAGCAGAGCTGTCAAATATCTAAATACGCTTTTGGTGAGGTTCAATTTATTTCTGTTTCAGAATGATTTGTCCTCATTACTGTTTTAGTCTTCAGATTTTCAATGTAAAGGTAATTTATTTCAAATTGAGTGTATGAAGCTTTAGTCAGGTTTTTTTCCAGACCATTTATTAACTGCTTTCTTTCTTTGGAATAAGTATTATTGCTTGTAAGAAAATTTACTGTTTCATTTAGTGGCCCTTTGATATCTGCTTCAGTATTCCTTTCATAATGATAGATAAAATGTTAAAGTGGTAGAGCACCTTGAACTGAAGCTTCTTAAGGATCTTCTATTGAAAACTCTTTATTACTGAGAAAGTGTTTGGGGTTTTTACTTTATGTATTCCTTTTTAACTGTTGAGCACCATTCCAACAAAAATGTAGAGAACTCTTTGCTGTATTTATTTATTTATTACTTGACTGCAGCAATGTTACCTGCCATTAACACGACAGTCTGTAAGTGTTGCTATTTCTTTTGTTTGGTTTTACTTGCATTTGTTTTGTGGTACCTAATGGGAAAGGGAACACTTGAGTTATACTCTACCTTCTTGGTCGTTCTCCCCTGTATTGAAATAGATTGGGGAATAGCTGTTTCAAAGTCAGTATAGTAAAAAAAATATAGTAATGTGTGTTTCTTTTTCTTTCCTATTTCTCACTGAAATACCATAAGTTGCTAAGTTTACAACTGGCCTGCCAGAAGGGCCAGAGGGGCAAGATTGTCTGGTTTTGTGGAGTGTGTCAAGTTTTTCTCAAATAATATTGTTGCTGGAAAAGCAAAAATGAAGGATCAAAAGTTGAATTTCTACTTTATAATTGAAACCAGTGTTAGAATGCAATGGTAGCTTGAACTTATTCTCCTGCTTTACTGGCTTTCTGGGAAAAAGTATAGAAATAGATAGTCACTATAACTGAACTTGGTATAGAACGTGGTATCCTGGAGCTTTATTTTCTCAACAGTCATCAAACTTCAATGTCTTATTGGTCTTAACCATTCACCATATTATTTGTCTCCTTCAACTTGTACTTATTCTTGTTTAGTAATTTTTATTCATTGCACAAAAAGGGGGAAAAGGGGAGCACTCCTGTGATACGGTGTCATGCTTGCATTGATAACTGGTTTTGTTTGTTTCTATAACAAAAAAAAGAAAAGAAAAAGAAAGAAAAAAGGACTACCATAAATTTACCAAGAATGTCCCTGAATACATTTTTTTAATATAGGTCTGGGCTTGATAACTTTCTTCTTTTGGGATAAATTTAAAACATGTTTAAACTATGTCTCTCTGCTCAGGGATTTATGGTGGATTATTGCAGACAGTGCTAAAAAAATATAAAAGAGCACAAGATCAGTTTTCTAAATTAAAATTTTATTTTTTGAAAAACTGTTATTTGTATAAATTATCAGATTTGTAGGCTTTCCTTTTTGTAGAAATAATTGTTTATGTGCCTGATAAAAAAATTTCAATTTTGTTTCAATAATAAAGCATTGATAATTAATACACTGTGTATTCTTTTGTGTTACTGTAACACTTTGGGGTTTTTAATTGTTCTAATTTAATGACTAGTGTTGATTGTTTTATGTATGGGAGAATTATGTAGCATAAGTAGAATACAACCTATCACATTGCAATTATAACCCAGTGGATATTTTCAAAAAGGTTCTCTGGAAGCATCTTTTAGTATTTATACTCACTAAATCTGGCCAAAGGGATCTGTTAGCTATCATATTTGATTATTGTTTCTAAACTTTATAGGAATAAAAGCTGATAAATAAGATATATTTATAAATTGTTTTTATATTAGCATACAAACATGATGTCAGTAAAATTGCTTCTGAAATGTCTAATTGGTTACAAAGGCTGGAAAGAAGACTTCACCTATGTACAAGGTCTTTTTCACATCTGCAGTCACCTTTTTCCTCATGCTGCAATGTCGTATGGCAGGTTTCAAATCTTCTGCCTTCCTGCACAGAAGATACTATGAAACTACATGGTTCTTTGGCCTTTTGGTTTTCTCCTAATTTTCTATGGACAGAGCCTTCTTAGCTCAGTGCAACACTAATATTCTTATACCTTTCTAGTTCTGTTGCGTTCAGGTCCTCTGCATTGATAGGATTTGCTCTATGGTTGAAAAACGTTGATGGGCATGAGCAGAGCTCTAGAGAGGCTTTGGATCATGACTTGCAAGTTCACTTGCCATATCTTATCAAAGGTCATGTCTCCTCTTCAGTGATTCCTGGCCTAAGTAGGTTTTGATGAAATGGCATATGATGAATACAGAGTATGCAAAGAATCACCTGAACTGTGTCACTCCTTTCCTGTGGAAATAGATTCTAAACATGGTCTTGAGCTCCTCCTCTTTCATCCTGGCCTGGAACCCTTCTCTGTGAGATC